TAATAAACGTAATAAATCATTACTTAATTAATTTTTAATGAAAGAAAAATTGATAGTGAAAATTTTATTATCATCATTTTAAAATATGTTTAGTAATGTCGCTTCGATCGATCGAGCGCTGTGATTGGTCGTTAAAGTTCGTTTGGCAAATTTGAAAAGAAGTTTAGAGTTTTCGATTTTTATGAAAAGTTAAACTTTTTTATTCGATTTTATAAATATTTCTTGAATTAATTTTAGGATTAAATAGGTTTATTTTTAAAATCAAAATGAAACCAACGTAAGTATAACCTGCGACTGAAGTTAATATTGATATTTAAGTTATTATTTAGGCCTAAGAACAGAGTGATGAATGTTCCATTTATTAAGTAATAAATATAATTTATGTAAAATGTTAATGATTTTTATTTAATAGAATCTAAAGATAAAGTAGAAAAGAAAAGATAATAATGTAAACCGTAAATAATGTAAAGATAACCGAAAATAATGTTAGAGAAAGTGGCAGTTGAGAGTACAGTTGTACACAAGATTGAAAGAATTGTTTATAAGCCGTACACCAACGTTTTCTCTCGTAATTTTATCTAATGATTAAGGCTTAACCTGAAGAACGGCTTCTACTGTACTATTTTAGATGAGATTTTTTTGTTTTCAACAACGTTTAGTCTTCATTGAGTACTTAGGGGTATTAAATTGATAACATTTCAGACATTGTTATAAATATTTTTATATATTTCTATTTTTTTAACCAAATGTTCGAACCGTTTTAAATTCGAATTTGTTATTGCATATTGGTTCGATTATAGAACGATTGTAAACGTTCCAGAAAATTGATCAAATTGAAAACAGTTCGTTTAATTCTCAGTAATTCTCATCATTCTCGGCGGTAGATGTTATATAACAATGACTATAGTTATTGAAATCTATATCTATATCTATCTATATATATATAAATGGACGTGTGTGTCCCTATATTTCACTTTTCCGCAAAAACTACACATCGCACATGAATGGTGTTTGTATGTGGTAGTAGCCCCAAGTCTCCATTCGTGCATAGGGGTGGTTCCGTCTCGATAGCTATAAGGGTGCGGGAGATATAGGCTTGAAAGTGGCTTTCTATTTCGAATTGTTTGTTCGAATTTGTTCGAATTTAATTTGAACATAAAATTCGAATATTGGTTCGATTATAGAACGATTGTAAACGTTCCAGAAACGTTGAAAATAGTTCGTTTGACTTGATGTGAACAGGAGATGTTCAATTTCATGATGAGCTCAGGATCTCTAATTAATAATTAGAGGAGACGTTCAGAAATCGAATCGGGACCAGATCTCTAATTAGACTGGAAACGGGGGACCTAATTCTTGCATTCTGTGAAAACGGGTAAGATTGGCTATAATGTAATTATCTTAATCTTCACTATCGTTACTTTTTAAAAACCCAGCGAAGCCGGTCCTTGCAGCTAGATTACTTGGAAAAACAGTCTTTTATGTATATAAAAAACTATATTACATACAAATGTACGAACAAATAAAAACCCAGCGAAGTGGGTCCTTGCAGCTAGTACTGAATATAAATGGTGTTTGCTTGCAACATTTGCGCGGGCAAAGTCACGGGTAACAGCTAGTTTACAATAAAGACATACGTGCTAGACATGCTTAAAACACACAGAATATTTGAGGGGCCACTCATTTAAAAAACTCTATAAACAAAAAAAGTCATAGGACTACTAATCAACTCTGCATCGTTCCAGCTGCCATTGCTTAAGCTTGCTTTTTTTACAAATCAATAAAATATTCTGTAAATACTACACAAAATAAAATGTAACTAATATGTTTATGTTAATTCTTTTCTTTTTGTATTGACTTGTAAAAATTTTAAGGGTTGGTAATGGGCCTCGTACAGAGTTCAGCTTACAGCTTTCAAACACTTAAATCTCTGGCTCTGTGTCCTACACAAAATTACTGACATTTTAAACTTTAAGGAAAAATCCTTTAAAATTGACAGTATAACTTGTTCATATAAAGCTGGACAATCTGAAAACTTTTTTGCCAATTCTTAACAGTTGAATCCCCTCTTTCAGTCCATTATATTTATGAGCTCCGAATTCTGATTTCTGAATAATTGTCTGTTTTTCATTCGGAAATAGACAAAAACTTATATTTGGTTCCCATATGAGTTTTTTTTATTTATAGAGTTTTTTAAATGAGTTGCCCCTCAAATATTCTGTGTGTTTTGAACATGTTTAGCATGTATGTCTCTATTGTAAATAAAATTAAGAGAGGAAATATTGGTGTATGGCTTATAAACAATTATCTTTTATGTTAATTTTTATTTTAAATTTTAGTGTTAATGTTAACACACAGATGTAATTTTTATACTTGTTTGAATATTTAATTGTTCCAGTGATTTTAAAATTTAAAATTGCTCTTTTAGCATTCTAATTTTTATCGAACGTTTTGACCTGAAGCAGAAAACTTAGTGATTATATATTTATACAGTCAAATAAACATATGAATAAATATATATATAAAAATGGACGTGTTTGTCCACATATTTCACTCCGCGGCCAAAACTGCACATCGCACATGAATGGTGTTTGTGTGTGGTAGTAGCCCCAAGTCTCCCATCGTGCACTATTGTGGTTACGTCTTGATAGCTATAAGAGTGTGGGAGATATGGGGGTTGAAAGTGGTTGACTTCGAAAATGTGTAACAATGGAAGTGTTGAGTAACAAAGGAAGTGTTAAGATGAAGTGGTGTGCAAGATTTACAGGCGCAGATGCGTTTTTTTGCTTTTTGCAGGGAAATCGAACATATTTTTAGACGATGTAAAAATTCTTTAATTAATTAATTAATTAGTTTGGAAACAGGGAACCTAATTCTTGCATTCTGTGAAAACGGGTAAATCGGCTATAATGTAATCTTAATCTTAAATGTTTTCGAATAGTCCAGGACCGTTATGTGTGAGTAGTGAGGATGGCTTTTGGAGATGTGTGATACACATGCTTCAGTTGATTTTTCATAAGTAAAAGTATACGAATAACAAGAAAAAGTAGAAAGTGAATAGTGAAGTGTGAAAAGTAAAAATATACAAAACAATGCCAAAGCGTAAGAAAGAATTTTTGCGGTCTTGAATCATATCTGAAAGGCAAAAGATGGCGCGGAGAAATGAAACCACGGAAGAAAGAGAAGTACATCTAACACTGCTACGAGAAACAGAAATAATCAGACAGAAGAGCAACTTGAAAATTATAGGGAAACACATTGAAACAGAAAGATTATGTAGAGGAAGAGAAACAGTCTTTTATATAAAAAAAAACGATAGGCCCTATTACATATAAATGTATGAACAAGTAAAAACTCAGCGAAGTGGGTACTTGCAGCTAGTATGTATATATATACACACTAGGAGAGATACCTAGTATATATATATAGTATATATATATATATATACTAGGGGAGATACCTGACAAAACCAGAGCTAAAATGTAACTAAACTTTTAACTCCTTTCAGAGGAATAGTTTTTAATTGAAATAATGTGACTCTGGTTTGCATTGGAAGTTTGTATATAATGAATTGGGGAATCTAGACTTGTCTTTCATTTATCTAACTGTTCTTGAGATTAAGGAAAGATAGACAGATGGATGACTGTGGGAATTTATAGATCTACAGTTTTTTCAATTGCAGTTCAACAAAAATGCGTGAATTCTTCATCAATGCAGTCTTTCCAAAAGGGAAAGGAATGAAAAGATTGTATAGAATTCCAGCTCTTGAATATCTTATAATTATTTGTTCACAATAAAAGCAACACTTGTCAAATTGTAAACCAGAACAGTTAACATTTATTATTGAGACTTGTTATTGGACATGGCAACTCTCAACCAAACAATTTGATAAATTGAAAGGACATGTCAGATAGTATGAAGAAGATATGTAGTATAAAAAACTCTTGCAATAGCAAGTGATCATTGCAAGCTGTGTTAGTCATTTATTAAGTAAAATAAGTGTTAGTTCTAGTTTTGCTACCAGGGCATCATTTTAAGTCCAACCATAATGTTAGATTCCTAATAAAAAAAGTATACTTGTAAACTTATTTGGAACTTTCTAGATAGTTTCACTTATTTCTATAGTTTATATAAATATACATATATATGGCTTAAATATAGATTTATATTTGTTTTATCTTAACAGCATTACTAATAATTTCTTTACATATGATTTTAACTTTAGAATAATGCTAAATAAGCTACTATAGTTAACTTATGTAAATAACAAACTGTTAACAGTAGATAGGTTTGCTGAAGAAAATGTTTTTGATTGATTAATAGGCCACTTCCAGATACTTAAAGAATTTGTTATAGATGTATTGTTTTTAGTTTTAGAATCTGAAGTCAAAGTTAAGAAGGAAGTGGCATTTATCATATTAATTTAAAGCCTAATGTTTGCTGGATTATGTCAGAATGATCCGATAGATGCATTTATCATACTTGGTTTAGAAGCATTAAAATAATTATCTTTAACTCTTGGTAATGATGGAGTTCAACTAATATCCATTTGAATCCATTTACATCTTAATTAGTTTATGTAAACATCTTCAAAGTGTTGGTTGAATATCTGATAAAATTTGCATAATGATAGAACTTTCTTCTGTTTTATCAAAAAACTAGATGTTTTAGTAAATGATCTTCTAATACTAAGTGAGATTTTGCCAGCAACTATTCAATACTATTTGGTTGAAATCTCTTTTTTGTTGTTTTGTAAGATTTGTTATAAGAATTGATTACACTTTTTACAGAAATGTTACCTTATTATAGTATTTTTTAACATAATTACTTGTTAGTTAAAATTAATGCTAAAAATCAAAAAATTAAACTTTGAATTTGACTATTTGATACTGTTAAAAGAATTTGGAATTATTTTCTCTGTTAGTAATTAAAAAAATAAGTATTATATTGTATTTTCAATTTAAAAAATATGAATACTTTAAATTATTTCAAGAAATATTGTGCAAATCTATGAAAATTATTTTTGCATGTCAGCCATGTCGTGCAGTAAGTGTTAACTTACTGTCATCAACTTGGATCTGTACTGCCAATAATTTATCATGTTATTATGGATTGGGGCATGTTTTTCTGTCATTTAATACTAGACACGTGATACCTTTGTAATAAACATCAGTTAAGAGATTACTAAGATTTTTCCTGTTAAATAGAAGGATTGAACTTTTTTTATTATAATAACAACAATACAGTTAGATATATTTAATAATGTGTATGTTCTATTTTATAGCTTACTTGGACATTTATAATATAGATGTGTATAAGGAAGAATGGCAAACTTCTTGTTAATTACAGTCAAACCCCCATTATTATGTTTTCAGTCTGTGCAAAGTGTGTTCTAATGCAAAAAAAAATAGATTTGCAGACTTGTGAACAAGGGAGATTAGGTATTTGAATAAATTTCATTAACACAAAGTGCCAGTTTTTAAGATTCTTCAACTTTGAATTAACAGTGTTTGATCTGATAGTATTTGAAATTATTTAAAATTATTAATTGATTAAAGTTAATTTTATAGAATTGCATTGAATTGAATTGCTGAATCATTGTTTATGACAAACTTATCTAACATTTGTTGTTTTTATGAATTATCATAAGATCAGTAGGCATGATAAATAAATTTGTTGAATAAAAAGCACAATGATGAAGCATAACTATTATATTACTAGTATATAATTTCACAACAACAATTTTTACATGCAAATGCACAAAAAGATTGTTATCATGAAATTATATTAGTTTAGTATTTATTTATAAGGGGAAAATGCCAATTACAATTAAAAATAATTATTTAAACTAAATATGATTTTTGTTATTTGTACTAAAACAAATTCTAAGTAATGAGATGATTTCGATTGTTAAGTATGCATATTAGTTTTTTGACAACTTTTTGTGTAATGCTATTTTGAGTTTTAAAAATTGATTTTTTTCAAGATGAGTCAGTCTAGATATTCGTTAGTTAAGTGAATAAATTCAAAAATTGGTTAACTCATGATGATGACATTTGTTTGGCTCATTTGCCAAATTTCATTTAGTATTAAATACAATGGAGTTAAATTATTTACAAGACATGCCCATTGCAGGAAAGTGTGAAAAAAATGCATCTTCTCATTTATTTTCCCCTCCACATGATCATTGCATAGGCCAGTGAAGCAGTTTCCAATGATGGGATAGTTCTTTGAGTAAAGTAGAATAATTAGTTGTAATTTCTTTGAAGGTAGTATTGCAATATTATCCAAAATAAGATTACAAATTTATTTTATAATATAAAATAAAGGCATGTGTATTCACTTATAAATGAAAATTTTCATGTTTTGAAAAATTGATTCTGGATTTCCCAATCATTTTCCATTCTTTAGCTTATTGTTTATTAATTAATGAATGTGCCATGCTTGTCATGTAAATCATTAATTTTTCTAAACTAAAATAAACTTTAGAAAGTACTGTATTCAAAAGAATCAGAATCTTGAGTAGTGTCAAAATCAGGAGAAATTTGGTATCTTCCCATCACTAATTTAAATTAACAAAAAATTATAAAAGTAATTATTTTCTACATTTATTTAAACATAGTTATTAAAATCTTAATGTTTTTTATTTATTTAGTCGTCATAAAACACCAAAACGACAATTGAAACTCAGAAATGGATTAGTCGATCCAGTTGAAGTTTATTGCAGACTTCGAACATTAGAGGATCAGACTGATGATATATGTGTAAAAGCTTTAGATAACTGTACTGTGAAATTAATGCAGCGTGATGGAAATACTCTTACAAAAAATGGACTTACAAAAGAGGTATGTATTTAGTTGAATAAATTAGTTTGTAAACAGTATTAAAGTTTGATTTAAAAAGTCCAGAATGATAAATAATAATAAAATTCACAAAATAGAAAAAAAAACAGTGTCAAAAAAAAAGTCTTCATATCTCATTTCCAGCCACACTGCTTAGGAACACAAGTTCACCTTTATCTTTCTGTCACATTAATATACAAAACTTGTTAAAAATGGGCCTTCTAATTGTGGCATAGTATAAAAGTATATAATTGATATAATATTGCTTCAATATGCAAAGTTTGTTTTTCTTTGCATATTGAGTTAGAGGAGAGCCTCAAGATAAAGGTCAACTCTACTTGTGTTCTGGAGGAGTGTGAAAGGGGGTGATATATGAAGAATTTTTATTTTATATTTGAGTTAATTCTAAATTTGTAAATTTTTAACAATATAGTTCATTATTTTTTTTTTTTTTTTTTTTTTGTAATTGATTTAAAAATAAAAAAATTTACTATTATTTCAAAACATAACATTAACTGGAATTTGCATATCTGTTAGCCTAGGAAATTATATTAACATTTATTAAATAAAGAAAAAAAATTATGTTGATTATATGTAACTTTACAGAGATTTTTTACACTGTTTATATATAGTAAGATTTAGGTATCTCCGTTTCATGTTTCAAATGTATCTTGTTGTAGTCTGTTAAAAGTTCCATTTATATGACAAGTTGTGCTACATATTTATAATTCATTAACAGCTAGAAATGAACTGTGTTTGATAATTTACATACAGTAAGATCTTGTTTAGTGTTTCCTTGATTAATGCTGATTTGATATAATGCAGTCTGCTTAAAGCCTGAAAAAAGCTCAAAATTTATGATTATTCAAATTATTGCAGCATCTTGTTGATTCGTATATAATACGATTTTTCCCGAACCAAATAATTAGCAAAAGGTGGCAGTTCATTATAGTGAATCTGTTTCTTCCCCTAAATCTGTTTCTTTGGTGCAATTTTAGAAAAAATATAACATCATGGATGACATAGGCAATATCGACTTCACTTGGCAAGAATTGACTGATAAATACATGAACAGTGTGTGGAAGAAGGTATGGCTGGAGAAGTCCAAGGATTTTCAATGAGAAGAGCCTATCATTGACCAAATTGTCAACTCAATTGATGCAGAAGGACTAGGAGATGTAGATGAGCAGGTATTGAGGAGTTACTGCAGGTCCTGGTGAGAACCTTACCAATGACGATTTCAAGAACTGGCAGAACAAGGAATTCATGTAGAACTGGAAAATAGTGATTTTGGAAATGAAGACCCCAAAGAACTTGCTACAGGTTTCCTTAGTAAAAGTTTTGTAACAATAACCAAAATTGCTGATCAAACTAGTGAATGATCTAGATTTCGAAAGGAGTTCAAAAGCAAGACTAAGCGTTTTGGATGCAATCTTCTGCTACTGACATTTGCTTTACAAAAGAAAAAGAAAGCGACAAATGACATTAGACGACTTCATCGTAAAAAATCAAGAATTTCAGAAGAGTCAGGACCTTCATCACAAATATGAACTTTATATTTCTGTGTGCATATGTTTGTGTGTTATGTAACATATATTATTATGCAAATTAATATAAAAACTTAAAATTAAAATAAAATTTGTTTATTTTTGGTCGCATGTTTCCCTTTCCCTGTTTACTTTGTGTTAAAATGACCTCATTTAACACTGTTTCATTTAGCACTTTGTCGTCTAGGAACACATTCTAAACACTAAACAAGGTCTTGCTATACTTAGTACACCTAAAGTAAAATCTTAAATTTGAGGATAATATATCGTATATAAGTGATATTACACAGTACAGAAATACACGCTATATGTATATTTTAAACATAATAAACACAATCAATGATTGTGTATAGAATTTCTTAACAGTACAAATAAAAAGAATTACTCTTAACTAACTAAATGAAATGCTGTATTAAGTATAGCTCTTTCAGATAATTTTTCTAATATATATTTTTGTAGATTCATTACACATTCAAGTATGTGTTTGATGAAAATGTTTCTCAGAAGACTTTGTTTGATAATATTGCATTTCCATTAGTAGAAGATCTTATTCGTGGAAAAAATGGTATGTAAGATGTTTTTAAATTAATAAAATTATTCAATTATCTTGATAATTAATATTAAAATGTGATTTAACGTACTTAATATTTTAAGAATGTTTAATTATTATAAAAATATATTCAACAACAAATAACATAATTATTCATTATTAAATATATTTCTATAATATCTAATATTTTAAGAATATTTAATTATTAAAAGGATAATTAAGTTTAGGAAAAAATGCATGACATATTAAATTTTTATAAAATAACATAAACTTGTATTTTTATATAGGTTTGCTATTTACTTATGGAATCACATCATCTGGAAAAACATATACAATGACAGGAACACCACAGGATGGTGGACTTTTACCTCGTTGCTTAGATGCAGTTTTCAATAGTGTTGGAGAATACCTAACAAGAAAATATGTAAGTTAATTATTTAAAGAAATTTATTACTACTACTTATTCAATTCATTTAACAATTATTATGCAACTATTGCAAAATTTAGATATTCAAACCAGATAAACTGAATGGATTTGATGTACAGTCTATAGCAGAATCATTGATGGACTTGCAAAAAGATCTTGGTTTAATTACCCCAAAAACTCCTAAGACAAAAAAGTAAAATTTTAAAAAAATATATTTAATAGTTTTTTAATGATATTTTTTATAATAAACTTTGAAATATTCTAGAAAAGATGGTGATTTAGATTGGAGCCAGAGGATACCAGATGATGTTAAAATACTAGAAGTTGATTCTGATAATGGATATGCTGTGTTTGTGTCTTACATTGAAATTTACAATAATTATATTTATGATTTGTTAGAAGACATTCCAATTGATCCAATTAAACCAAAGTAAGTAAAAATTTTGAAAACAGAATGTAGCATATTTTAAAATCATATTTATTCTAACATTTATTCAAAAGACCTCCACAGTCAAAAATATTGAGAGAAGATGCCAATCACAATATGTATGTATTTGGAATGACAGAGAAAGAAGTAAAAACTGCAGATGAAGCTTTTGAATTGTTCTGTAAAGGTCAAAGACGTAGACGAGTAGCTCACACAGCTCTTAATACTGAATCGAGTAGGAGTCATAGTGTTTTTAATGTTCGGCTTGTTCAGGCTCCTTTAGATCCAGTGGGTGCAGAAATAATTCAGGTATTGCAAGTATATAATTTAATTTTTTTTATTTAACATTTTTATAGTTATTTTATATGACTGTTGATGATGATTGATATATATATGACCGATGAATGACCGATATCTGGCGAATGTCAACATTCTCCGGTGAATGTCAGCATTCATACAGTCATTTCGTGTATGTAAGAAATATTTGCTAAATATCATTATTTCTCACTTACACTGGCAAATGTCGACATTCAGCATGCACTGATGGTGAATGTTGAATAAAAATATTTTTATTATGTTAAGACAAAAATGCAACTTTTAAATATGTCAAAATAGGAGAAAGCTTAAGTAACAGAAATAAATAATGTAAATAAACTGTTGAACCTAAAACAAACAGTACATTCTAAATCATCAAAGAAAATAATACAATAATAAACTTACACATAAGATTGTATAACATTAATCACATAATTTATTTATTGCAACAACTTAAACTGTTATGGCACTTTGCACAAGAGTCCCTTGCTTTTATAACTGCATTTATTCGTGGAACACTTCTTTCTGCAATGACAGTGTGTATAGCCTTGCCCTCCACTTTTCGAATTAGCTGCAGCTGCTTCTCTTAGCGATATTTCTTGAGAAGAAATCTCATCTCTAGAAAGTAACTTTTCTTTACAAATTACGAACTGATTACAGGTATAAAGCGGCTTGAGGGTACCATTTTTGTTTGCTAATTTATAAAAGTTGGAGTCTTCTATTCCAACAACAACTGCCAACATATTTCGGGCATCTGTATGGCCACAGTTGACATCAGGGACTTGTATTCGTACGGTATCACCAATTTGAGCAGAAGGAAACAGCGAGGAATTTGGTGACAGACTGTCACCTCTCTGTTGACATCGGCTTCTCGGGTGTCATTTCGACCTCCACCAAAGCTTGTCGACATACACTGGCGATTGTTCAAATGCATAATAATATAACCAAATATTTGGTCCTTCCCCGATGTATATTGTATATGTTGATATTTACCAGAGAATATCGACATTCTCTAATTTAGGTCTTTCACAGTAACATATATATATATATATATATATATATTTATTTATTTATTTCAGGATCGAAATCAAACTATTGTTAGCCAGTTATCTCTAGTAGATCTTGCTGGTAGTGAAAGAACAGTACGAACAAGAAATACTGGAGACAGGCTACGTGAAGCAGGTAATTTAAAATAAATATATAAATTGTTTAAATTAAGTTTTAATATTTGAAACTTATTAGGAAATATAAACACATCTTTGATGGCGTTGAGAGAATGTATTGAAATATTAAGAGAGAACCAAAATCAAAATAGTTGCAAGGTATGAATATAACAATGCCATTTGAAAAACACACACACAAATTATTTAAAGTTGAAACTTAATTTTGTGTCTGTTTGTTATTACAGTTAGTTCCATATCGAAAAAGCAAGCTGACTCATTTATTTAAAAATTATTTTGAAGGAGAAGGAAAAGTGAGAATGGTAGTTTGTATCAACCCACGCGTAGATGATTATGATGAAATTATCGTAAGTAATTAATTTTAATTTATTATTAATATGAATATTGTAATATTGTGTTAATTTTTAAAATCTTTATTTCATAGACTAATAATTCATTCTTAATAATTTGATTTTTGTTATTTTGAAAGAATTCAAATATAATTTAATATAAAATATCTTTATAGCATGTTATGAGATTTGCAGAACTTGCTCAAGAAGTGCTTCTGTCTCGGCCAACCCCACTGTCTAATGTTTTGTCTTCTGGATTAAAATCTGGTAGAGGCAATAATTACCGAGAAGCTGTAAAAAAGGCTGAGGAAGAAGGAAGTAAGATGTTTTACTTAAATAAAAATGATTTTATCTTTAGTTGGTTCTGGATTAAGTAAAATATTTCAAATATTACTTTATTATTCATTATGTGCCCTTCATAAGTATGTTTTGATAAGGCAAATTACATAAATTTTAATATAATATGTGCCAATGAAAATTATAGTGGTTATTAAATTAAATTATATTTTAAGTTTTTTTATATGATATAAATCTTTAATTACAAAATAATTTATTGCATACTTGCATAAAAAATATAGAAAAAATTTATGTAAAAAGATTACTTTTTCTATATTTTAAATTAATGCAATACTATATCATCTTTTTACATACATTTTTTCTTACAAAATTCTATTTTATTTAAAACTAATGTAATCTAAGACAAAATGTTCCGTAACAGTTTGGAAAATCTCAACTGACCACTTTCTGTTCCCCACATTAAAATTTGTTTTGAAAGAGAGAGAATTTCAGTCAATTTTGGAAATCAGGAGGCTGTAGAGGGAATTAAACAGCATTTCAAACAGATCCTTTAATGAGAGCATATATATGTTATTAGAGGATGCAAAATTTTTTATTAAGTACATAGGAATATATTGAAGACTGATGCTAAATTGGATGATTTCTGCCAAAAACATTATATATATATATATATATATATAAATTTAATCCCCAAACTTAGTTGCTGCACTTTTGTATGTGTGTATTTAACAAACATTGTATTTTTAGCTTTAATACTTAACACTAAAAATACTCTAATTATTAATAGTAAAACATTAATAATGGAATAATGTAATTTATTCAATATTCATGATAATGATTCAAATTCATAGTCCAGTTTTATTTTTCAGCAAATTTGGATGATTATTTGGCTTCAACAGTTTATACAATGGGACCTGCTTTTCCAATTGTAAGATTTATTATTTTAATATTTTTAAATTGGCGAAACACTTATGCCATAAAATTCATAAATGTGAAATTTTAAACTTATTAATAATAATAATATTTTTAGATAGAAAATATGAATAGTGAAACTTTAACAAATCTTCTGAATTTTATGAATGATAGAAAGGTTCGCCGAGAAACTTTATTGAAAGACTTGAATAATAAACGTGAGTATATATTTTAAAAATTTATTTAATAATAGAATCTGTGACATTTTATTTTGTTTGACTAGAATCTGAATTTAGAAGACAGTTGAGTGAGAATGAAAAAGAAATGATGACTCTTCGTCAGGTATGGTTTTTTAATGTTTTATAACATAATTTCAAATTTACAATGCTGAATTTTTATTGGGTTTAATATGTTATATGTGTAAATTTATGTCAATAACAATTATTAATTGAACATTTGATTAATTAGAAAACTAAATTTACTGTGATAAATATAATTTAATTAATTAATTTTTTTACAAAGCATAAACTAGAATTTAGAAATTTAATTTATGATTTGTAAAAAATTCTTTCAAAAAATTTCAAAATTTGCTGCTTTGTAAAAAGAAATAGCTAATCCATGCTTTTACTCAGAAATTATTAAGAGAATATATATAAGATGTTATTACTAAAGCATTATTTATTTTTATATAAAGATTAGTTTTGACATTATATAAAAGTTTCTTTTGTAAAGTTGTCATTTGCAAGACATTTCATAATAATATGATAACTATTATTATGAAATGTCTCATATGTGAGAACTTTATAACTCAAATATAAAGATATTCATCTCTGGAGTAATGTAATATTTAACTTATTCCATTGTAATGGTAGAGAACCTGAAGGTAGTCTAGACTAGACTGAAAGTGCTCATTATTATTACACTGATATGCTTATAAGTTGAATGTTGATATGGAAACTGTATTGCACACATTACCATATTTACTTGCATATAAGATGAGGTTTTTATTTATTTTTCATGGCTTCAAAAACCTAGGTTCTCCTATGCATGCGAGCAAAGGATTCTTTGTTTTTGCAATAATTTCTGTGTATTATGTATAGTTCATGCTGCCATTATAGATCTACAGTCTATTTATCGTAAGTTGGCACCTACTGTAAACAAACTAAGATACATTCTCTTTGTTTATTGGTTTAAACCTATGTCCAACAATTAAAAACTGCATTGCATCTCATTTATCTGCAGAAAATAGTTTCTTGTTACTTTTAAAATCATTAATGAAATACAGGTCACATGGCAATGATTATAAATGTAGTTATTTCATATTTGTTAAATTGTCATTTTTAATGATTATCACATTCTGGATCATTAAAAATAAACTTTTTCCAGTCATATGCATTATAATGTTTTGGTTTTGTTTTCCATTCATCATGTATCATGTATTAAGGCAAATATGGCTGTTTGCCTTAATATGTGCATTTGATAATATTTTATTTGTGATTAAATGAAATAAAATTAGAATTGTATTAATAAATGTAATTTTCCTTATTATGATCTTTAAAATCGCACCTCGTCCTATATTCGAGAACTTATATGTAAGTAAATACAGTATTCATGAATGAGGACAATATATCCCTGTAAGGAAAATTCTGATTTTCAAATTGATAGTTTAATCTTTGCCTAAATTCAAATATAAATTTAAAATGACTAATCAGTTTTATTCAATGAATACTAATATCAGTCCAAAGGAGATAAAGATAGATAGTAAAATGGAATTAAAATTGATGATTAAAATATTTTAATTATATAAAATTTAATTACAAGGATTTATTTTTAATAAATATATTTAATTAAGAGATTATACTATGATAATAGATACAGTTATCTGAAGATTATAAATGTACTATAAAAACATTATTGCATTGAAAAATGTCTTTGTAATGTTACAATTGTGTTATAAATGATATTTAACATTGTTGTTTTAGATTAAATTAAAAGTATAATTTCTTGCATAAAAATTACATAAAAGTACACTTATAATATTGAGAATTTGATTCTCTTTATAATCATAATAATTTTTGAAGCTTTTTCTCTCTAAAATATTATTTTATATATTAACTGAATGGATAATACTATGCCTAAAATACAATGGATATATACTGAATGGATAATACTATGCCTAATTTATTCCTAAAATACAACTTTAACATATAAACTAAATAAAACTATTTAAGATTGACACTTAAGTCAGCTATGTAAGCTGCTTGGTGAAATGTCAGTTTACTACTAGTGGGATCTACCTGATCCAAACTAACATAACTCGTAACAAGTTGCATGGGACAACATTGATCTTCACCATTTATCCATATTGGCTATTTCTATTACAGATTAACTTATCAACAATGGGTGAAATTTACTTAAACAATAGAGGTAATACCTTAATGCTAGAAAATTCTTTCCCCATATGACAATAAATTAAGATGAATTAAAAGGATAAAATATAAATATGATTAACCATATAGCCTTCAATGTACTGGTACCTCATTTTAAGAAATCACTCAACTAAAATAGGAAAAATAAATTATTTGGCTCTAGACAAGGTAAACATTTACTTTTTTGCTTAAATGTTTTAACCTATTGCCATACTGCCAAAATATGTGGTTTTAAATTCAGCTCAAGACCAAAACTTTTTTGTAGACACAATATCTTTTTACAATTAATTTTTCAATAAAAAACTAATATTTAAGTTCTAGAGTTTTAAAATTGAATTTCATTCTAGTATATTTATTATTTAAATACATATTCTAAATGTCCATTTCAAATTAGCTAAATGCTGAACGTATAAGTGAGCTGTATAATGGCCTCTTTATTTATAGACTTATCACACCCTCATTAGACACAAGACCAGCCTCAGTATATCTTGAGGCTGGTCTTGTGTCTGATGAGGGTGTGATAAGTCTATAAATAAAGAGGCCATTATACAGCTCACTTATACGTTTTAACCTAGACAAGAAGCATATAATAGTAAATTCTGAATATTGATAGTTATTTATATTTTAAAATTAGCAAGTTAGAGTTCTTCAAATGGATTTAGAAGCCAGAGAACAACAAGTAAAATGTCTAGAGAAGAAAATATCTGATATGAAAGAAACTAATGATGTTTTAAATAAAAAGATTGGAGAAACTGAGAGGAATAAACAAGCTTTAGAAAATGAGGTGATGATGATTATAATAATAATAATAATAAAATTATTAATTAGAGTAAGACTTTTCAATATTTTTCTTTTGAATAAATATGCAGTTGGATGAAAAAGAGATGTTACTAAATAAAGGACAAATGGAGAAAGAAAAAATCAAATCAGAACTACATGACCGTCTTGAAATAGAAAGAAGTCGTATGCAGCGTATCATGGTAAGATTTAAATAATCAGTAAAACTGAAGTTGGCTATTATATTTTTTTGTCTGAATGAAAAATTAATAAATGTTTTATATGAGGAAAAAAGAATGTTTTTAAGATATTCTAAAAATGGATGCATTGCTGATGAGAGCAAAAAATTTAATAACTTCCATCATTAGTATTATATTATTTTGAAAATTTACTTTTTTCATATTGTGTGTGTATATATGTGTTGTTTTTTTTTTTTATTATTATTATTATTTCAGCAACCCAATAGTGCTGTTTCCCGAACTTATCATGATTTTTGTATGTTATAACTTTTTTTTTATTCTGTTTAAGTACCTTTAATAAATGCATTTCAGACTCATATTGTCCCTCTTCAGTCATTATACAGTTATTACATATACAGTGGGGTGATCAGTTAATGAACAGTTTGGACTGCGAACAAATCAGACAACGAACACTTTCATGAAAGATTTTTATGTTCGGACAACAAACACATGTTCGGATAACAAACACCTCACAGAACAACAAACACAAGAAGCAGTGACATAAATAACGAATACCAGTTGGTGTTCCCTTGTCTCTAGCTGACAATTTGAAACCTTTTGGAGTGCGGGAAATGTGAACATTGACACGATACTCATCAAATATTATTCCTTTTAACTTTCAAACTCTCTTTGTAATTCCAGCTTTTTGTTTACCTTTCTAACAGAATAATTTTATATAGTCTTTGTGAGACTGTCAGGCACTTGTTAAGTTTTGCATTAGTTTTTATTTTTGAATGTGGAGAGTTTAACTGTCCCATCAGATATTTGTTAAAGTTTTAACAGCAGTTTTGAATTCTGTCCAGGCCTCACATTTACATGATTTTTTTGTGTGCTAGTAGATTTCTGTTCTCTGAATTTTGTAAGTGTTTTTCTGAACTTTTTATTTAAAAAAGAAATTGATAATATTATGGAGCCTAAAAAGAGTGGAGTGTCAAGAACTGTGCTCACCATAGAAACCAAGCAAGAGATAATAGTTAAGATAGAGTAGACAGAAGATGTGTGATGTTGCTAGGCAGTATGACTTGAACAGGTCTACAGTAGACACAATCTTAGCTAAGAAAGATGTAATCAAGAAGACTCAAGTAGCTAAAGGAGTAACAAAAATCACATCTGAGAAACAATGATGTACCATCCATGAAAAATGAGAGATTGCTTTTAATTTGGATAAAAGAAAGGGAAATGAAGAGAGATGTAATTAGTATGACTATCATTCAAGAGAAAGGTAGAGAAAGTTTTGAAGCACATGCCAAACTCTACCTACATTACAAAAGATGAGAGAAATATTTGTGGGCCCATAAAAGACCGATTGATGTTACTTTTGGGAGCTAATGTTCGTGGTGATATGAAGCTTATCCTGCTTCTTGTCTATCACTCTGAGAACCCTATAGCATTAAAAAAAATTCATAATTAAAGGAAGACTGCCAGTGATGTGGAGATGAAATAAAAGAACATGAATCATGCAGGCTCTTTTCAAAGAATGGCTGTTTGAAGTTTGTGCTCCAAACTTCAAGGATTACCTTCAGACCAATAAATTGCCATTGAAAGCACTATTGCTATTGGACAATTAAACAGGACACCCAAAAAACCTTGAAGATTATTTGATGGAAGACTTTCCTGGCTGACAGTTCAGTTTCTGCCTCCGAATACTACTTTGTTGATTTGGCCAGTGAATCAGAAGGTTATTGTGGGTTTCAAGAAATTTTACATTCATGCACTGTTTTGTTGGTGTTTTAAAGCATGCCAGTTCTCCTGATTGATGACATTAAAAACATCTTGGAAAGAAAATTTTAATATTCTTGAAACTATCTGACTCATTCAGAAGGCATGGTCAGAAGTCACTCAACAATAGTTGAATTCTATTTGATGAAAGCTGTGTATCTCCTGCATTCAGGGAGACAGAGATGGTGTCCCTGAAATTATGGATGAAATTGTGACATCTGCTAGAAATCTCGAATTGGAGGTGAATGAAGATGACATTGAAGAACTCATAATGAAATCTGAAACTGACCTGACAGTAGAACTCCAAGAACTCTTGAATGAAGAACACCAAGAAATTCAGCGAGATGTGTTTTTTTCTGAAAAAGAGAAAGACAAAAGAGAATCAATGCTGATATCTGCTATTAAAGATCTTTTGAAGAAGTGGGAGAATGTCTGAACAATGGTCTTAGAATGGCATCTAAACCAGAATGAGGTTAGGATCTCTACAACTACAATGCTATTAATTAATTCTGAAAAATCCCGAAGAGAGAAAAGCAATCGACATTGGATAGATAATGCCCCACAAATGGAAAAATACATGACTGATAAAAATGCAAGATTGTGTATATATGTTATCATTATTATACTGTATATAAATAAACATAGTAAGAAAGTATATAATTTTTTTATTTCTTTTTTGGGGTCTGGAATGAATTAATCAAATTCTCATAAAAATTACAGTAAATCGATAATCAGTTAACAAACAATTCAGGTAGCGAACATGATCTTGGAATGGATTATGTTCATTAACTGATCACTCGCTGTATATATTTTATTAATTAGCTGGATCTTTTTTATTTATGCATATAATAATTTGCATCAGGGAATTTATACATAAACAGTAGTTTATCATTACATTAAAACTAAAAACTAGTAAGTTTAAAATTAAAAACAATGGGATCAGTTATTAAATAAATTCATTAAAATAATAATTCTAAAAAAGTATATTTCCAGAAATGAACTAAAAGTTAAAATTCGAGAATATGGAAAATATAGTAAGAACTAAATATTAAATTTAAATTGTGATCCATCTCTGTGTTAAATTTCTCAGTCTTATAGAAGAGAGTAATTTTAACTCATTTATTTCTGAAAATATACTTTTTTAGAATTATTTTTTTAATTAACTAGTAAGTTGTTTTATATTTATTAGTTTGTCCTAATTTGTTTTTGATTTATAATTTTTCTTTGTTTTAAAATCTGTTGGTGGTTAAAATCAATTGCTTGAGTGTTTATAAGATAATTCCAGCTTTAGAATTTAATAAGTTGCTTGAGAATTTGCAAGATTGAATTTTTTGTAATTTGCATCAACAGTTCTTGTGTCAAGTTTAATACTAAATATATAGAAAATGCTGATGATTCATTACTTCTCGCTAGATCACAATTTCCATTTTGATTCAACAGAAGGCAAAGAGTTAGTTACATTCATTAAGCTTTCAGCTGGATTCTTATATTATGAAAATAATTAGAAATGTAAACTTTGACAAATTAGCTATTATATAATTCTAAATCACTTACTTATCCCAATAAAATAACACACACTTACTTCATTTGGGAGTGTTTAAAATTTTTTGTTTTAGAACTGTTCATATAGTATTTCTAGAAGAAATTAACGTATTAATTTTAGTATACAGTGGTACCTCGGTATACGTCTGCTTTAGAATACGTCAAATTCGGAATACGTCCTGTTTGGACAAAACAAATTTTGCTCGGTATACGACTTAATTCAGTTATACGCGCCATCTATAAACAAGTAGCACTATTGGTGTACTAGACCAGACTAGACGTTTGTGGTGCCACAGTTTATAACTTTGTTAGATTTCTTCCGATTTTAATTTGTAAGTAAAATTTTATTATTTTTATTAATCATGAATTGCAAACAATCAAAAGCAACAGAAAACTAAAAAAATGACTAGAATAACAATGGAACTGAAAAAAGAGATTGTTGAGAAATATGAAGGTGGCACGCATGTTTGAGATTTTAACTGTTGCATGTTGTATTCCAAGAATGATGATATTGACAATTGCAAAAAATAAAGGCATTACTAAATCTGCTAACATTGCGAAAGGGGTTAAATCAATTTCTAAACAGAGATCAAAGACTGATTACTTCATGTTGAGAAATTGCTTTTGCTTTGGATAACTGAAAAACAGTGTGCTGGAGACAGCATATCAGAAGCAATTATTTGCGAGAAAGCTAAAAAGATACATGCTGATCTCATGAAAAATCAAGCAGGAACTAGCCAGGAAAGCGAGGTGTTAAAGCTAGCCATTTTTTTTACATGAGAANAGGATCGAAATCAAACTATTGTTAGCCAGTTATCTCTAGTAGATCTTGCTGGTAGTGAAAGAACAGTACGAACAAGAAATACTGGAGACAGGCTACGTGAAGCAGGTAATTTAAAATAAATATATAAATTGTTTAAATTAAGTTTTAATATTTGAAACTTATTAGGAAATATAAACACATCTTTGATGGCGTTGAGAGAATGTATTGAAATATTAAGAGAGAACCAAAATCAAAATAGTTGCAAGGTATGAATATAACAATGCCATTTGAAAAACACACACACAAATTATTTAAAGTTGAAACTTAATTTTGTGTCTGTTTGTTATTACAGTTAGTTCCATATCGAAAAAGCAAGCTGACTCATTTATTTAAAAATTATTTTGAAGGAGAAGGAAAAGTGAGAATGGTAGTTTGTATCAACCCACGCGTAGATGATTATGATGAAATTATCGTAAGTAATTAATTTTAATTTATTATTAATATGAATATTGTAATATTGTGTTAATTTTTAAAATCTTTATTTCATAGACTAATAATTCATTCTTAATAATTTGATTTTTGTTATTTTGAAAGAATTCAAATATAATTTAATATAAAATATCTTTATAGCATGTTATGAGATTTGCAGAACTTGCTCAAGAAGTGCTTCTGTCTCGGCCAACCCCACTGTCTAATGTTTTGTCTTCTGGATTAAAATCTGGTAGAGGCAATAATTACCGAGAAGCTGTAAAAAAGGCTGAGGAAGAAGGAAGTAAGATGTTTTACTTAAATAAAAATGATTTTATCTTTAGTTGGTTCTGGATTAAGTAAAATATTTCAAATATTACTTTATTATTCATTATGTGCCCTTCATAAGTATGTTTTGATAAGGCAAATTACATAAATTTTAATATAATATGTGCCAATGAAAATTATAGTGGTTATTAAATTAAATTATATTTTAAGTTTTTTTATATGATATAAATCTTTAATTACAAAATAATTTATTACATACTTGCATAAAAAATATAGAAAAAATTTATGTAAAAAGATTACTTTTTCTATATTTTAAATTAATGCAATACTATATCATCTTTTTACATACATTTTTTCTTACAAAATTCTATTTTATTTAAAACTAATGTAATCTAAGACAAAATGTTCCGTAACAGTTTGGAAAATCTCAACTGACCACTTTCTGTTCCCCACATTAAAATTTGTTTTGAAAGAGAGAGAATTTCAGTCAATTTTGGAAATCAGGAGGCTGTAGAGGGAATTAAACAGCATTTCAAACAGATCCTTTAATGAGAGCATATATATGTTATTAGAGGATGCAAAATTTTTTATTAAGTACATAGGAATATATTGAAGACTGATGCTAAATTGGATGATTTCTGCCAAAAACATTATATATATATATATATATATATAAATTTAATCCCCAAACTTAGTTGCTGCACTTTTGTATGTGTGTATTTAACAAACATTGTATTTTTAGCTTTAATACTTAACACTAAAAATACTCTAATTATTAATAGTAAAACATTAATAATGGAATAATGTAATTTATTCAATATTCATGATAATGATTCAAATTCATAGTCCAGTTTTATTTTTCAGCAAATTTGGATGATTATTTGGCTTCAACAGTTTATACAATGGGACCTGCTTTTCCAATTGTAAGATTTATTATTTTAATATTTTTAAATTGGCGAAACACTTATGCCATAAAATTCATAAATGTGAAATTTTAAACTTATTAATAATAATAATATTTTTAGATAGAAAATATGAATAGTGAAACTTTAACAAATCTTCTGAATTTTATGAATGATAGAAAGGTTCGCCGAGAAACTTTATTGAAAGACTTGAATAATAAACGTGAGTATATATTTTAAAAATTTATTTAATAATAGAATCTGTGACATTTTATTTTGTTTGACTAGAATCTGAATTTAGAAGACAGTTGAGTGAGAATGAAAAAGAAATGATGACTCTTCGTCAGGTATGGTTTTTTAATGTTTTATAACATAATTTCAAATTTACAATGCTGAATTTTTATTGGGTTTAATATGTTATATGTGTAAATTTATGTCAATAACAATTATTAATTGAACATTTGATTAATTAGAAAACTAAATTTACTGTGATAAATATAATTTAATTAATTAATTTTTTTACAAAGCATAAACTAGAATTTAGAAATTTAATTTATGATTTGTAAAAAATTCTTTCAAAAAATTTCAAAATTTGCTGCTTTGTAAAAAGAAATAGCTAATCCATGCTTTTACTCAGAAATTATTAAGAGAATATATATAAGATGTTATTACTAAAGCATTATTTATTTTTATATAAAGATTAGTTTTGACATTATATAAAAGTTTCTTTTGTAAAGTTGTCATTTGCAAGACATTTCATAATAATATGATAACTATTATTATGAAATGTCTCATATGTGAGAACTTTATAACTCAAATATAAAGATATTCATCTCTGGAGTAATGTAATATTTAACTTATTCCATTGTAATGGTAGAGAACCTGAAGGTAGTCTAGACTAGACTGAAAGTGCTCATTATTATTACACTGATATGCTTATAAGTTGAATGTTGATATGGAAACTGTATTGCACACATTACCATATTTACTTGCATATAAGATGAGGTTTTTATTTATTTTTCATGGCTTCAAAAACCTAGGTTCTCCTATGCATGCGAGCAAAGGATTCTTTGTTTTTGCAATAATTTCTGTGTATTATGTATAGTTCATGCTGCCATTATAGATCTACAGTCTATTTATCGTAAGTTGGCACCTACTGTAAACAAACTAAGATACATTCTCTTTGTTTATTGGTTTAAACCTATGTCCAACAATTAAAAACTGCATTGCATCTCATTTATCTGCAGAAAATAGTTTCTTGTTACTTTTAAAATCATTAATGAAATACAGGTCACATGGCAATGATTATAAATGTAGTTATTTCATATTTGTTAAATTGTCATTTTTAATGATTATCACATTCTGGATCATTAAAAATAAACTTTTTCCAGTCATATGCATTATAATGTTTTGGTTTTGTTTTCCATTCATCATGTATCATGTATTAAGGCAAATATGGCTGTTTGCCTTAATATGTGCATTTGATAATATTTTATTTGTGATTAAATGAAATAAAATTAGAATTGTATTAATAAATGTAATTTTCCTTATTATGATCTTTAAAATCGCACCTCGTCCTATATTCGAGAACTTATATGTAAGTAAATACAGTATTCATGAATGAGGACAATATATCCCTGTAAGGAAAATTCTGATTTTCAAATTGATAGTTTAATCTTTGCCTAAATTCAAATATAAATTTAAAATGACTAATCAGTTTTATTCAATGAATACTAATATCAGTCCAAAGGAGATAAAGATAGATAGTAAAATGGAATTAAAATTGATGATTAAAATATTTTAATTATATAAAATTTAATTACAAGGATTTATTTTTAATAAATATATTTAATTAAGAGATTATACTATGATAATAGATACAGTTATCTGAAGATTATAAATGTACTATAAAAACATTATTGCATTGAAAAATGTCTTTGTAATGTTACAATTGTGTTATAAATGATATTTAACATTGTTGTTTTAGATTAAATTAAAAGTATAATTTCTTGCATAAAAATTACATAAAAGTACACTTATAATATTGAGAATTTGATTCTCTTTATAATCATAATAATTTTTGAAGCTTTTTCTCTCTAAAATATTATTTTATATATTAACTGAATGGATAATACTATGCCTAAAATACAATGGATATATACTGAATGGATAATACTATGCCTAATTTATTCCTAAAATACAACTTTAACATATAAACTAAATAAAACTATTTAAGATTGACACTTAAGTCAGCTATGTAAGCTGCTTGGTGAAATGTCAGTTTACTACTAGTGGGATCTACCTGATCCAAACTAACATAACTTGTAATAAGTTGCATGGGACAACATTGATCTTCACCATTTATCCATATTGGCTATTTCTATTACAGATTAACTTATCAACAATGGGTGAAATTTACTTAAACAATAGAGGTAATACCTTAATGCTAGAAAATTCTTTCCCCATATGACAATAAATTAAGATGAATTAAAAGGATAAAATATAAATATGATTAACCATATAGCCTTCAATGTACTGGTACCTCATTTTAAGAAATCACTCAACTAAAATAGGAAAAATAAATTATTTGGCTCTAGACAAGGTAAACATTTACTTTTTTGCTTAAATGTTTTAACCTATTGCCATACTGCCAAAATATGTGGTTTTAAATTCAGCTCAAGACCAAAACTTTTTTGTAGACACAATATCTTTTTACAATTAATTTTTCAATAAAAAACTAATATTTAAGTTCTAGAGTTTTAAAATTGAATTTCATTCTAGTATATTTATTATTTAAATACATATTCTAAATGTCCATTTCAAATTAGCTAAATGCTGAACGTATAAGTGAGCTGTATAATGGCCTCTTTATTTATAGACTTATCACACCCTCATTAGACACAAGACCAGCCTCAGTATATCTTGAGGCTGGTCTTGTGTCTGATGAGGGTGTGATAAGTCTATAAATAAAGAGGCCATTATACAGCTCACTTATACGTTTTAACCTAGACAAGAAGCATATAATAGTAAATTCTGAATATTGATAGTTATTTATATTTTAAAATTAGCAAGTTAGAGTTCTTCAAATGGATTTAGAAGCCAGAGAACAACAAGTAAAATGTCTAGAGAAGAAAATATCTGATATGAAAGAAACTAATGATGTTTTAAATAAAAAGATTGGAGAAACTGAGAGGAATAAACAAGCTTTAGAAAATGAGGTGATGATGATTATAATAATAATAATAATAAAATTATTAATTAGAGTAAGACTTTTCAATATTTTTCTTTTGAATAAATATGCAGTTGGATGAAAAAGAGATGTTACTAAATAAAGGACAAATGGAGAAAGAAAAAATCAAATCAGAACTACATGACCGTCTTGAAATAGAAAGAAGTCGTATGCAGCGTATCATGGTAAGATTTAAATAATCAGTAAAACTGAAGTTGGCTATTATATTTTTTTGTCTGAATGAAAAATTAATAAATGTTTTATATGAGGAAAAAAGAATGTTTTTAAGATATTCTAAAAATGGATGCATTGCTGATGAGAGCAAAAAATTTAATAACTTCCATCATTAGTATTATATTATTTTGAAAATTTACTTTTTTCATATTGTGTGTGTATATATGTGTTGTTTTTTTTTTTATTATTATTATTATTTCAGCAACCCAATAGTGCTGTTTCCCGAACTTATCATGATTTTTGTATGTTATAACTTTTTTTTTATTCTGTTTAAGTACCTTTAATAAATGCATTTCAGACTCATATTGTCCCTCTTCAGTCATTATACAGTTATTACATATACAGTGGGGTGATCAGTTAATGAACAGTTTGGACTGCGAACAAATCAGACAACGAACACTTTCATGAAAGATTTTTATGTTCGGACAACAAACACATGTTCGGATAACAAACACCTCACAGAACAACAAACACAAGAAGCAGTGACATAAATAACGAATACCAGTTGGTGTTCCCTTGTCTCTAGCTGACAATTTGAAACCTTTTGGAGTGCGGGAAATGTGAACATTGACACGATACTCATCAAATATTATTCCTTTTAACTTTCAAACTCTCTTTGTAATTCCAGCTTTTTGTTTACCTTTCTAACAGAATAATTTTATATAGTCTTTGTGAGACTGTCAGGCACTTGTTAAGTTTTGCATTAGTTTTTATTTTTGAATGTGGAGAGTTTAACTGTCCCATCAGATATTTGTTAAAGTTTTAACAGCAGTTTTGAATTCTGTCCAGGTCTCACATTTACATGATTTTTTTGTGTGCTAGTAGATTTCTGTTCTCTGAATTTTGTAAGTGTTTTTCTGAACTTTTTATTTAAAAAAGAAATTGATAATATTATGGAGCCTAAAAAGAGTGGAGTGTCAAGAACTGTGCTCACCATAGAAACCAAGCAAGAGATAATAGTTAAGATAGAGTAGACAGAAGATGTGTGATGTTGCTAGGCAGTATGACTTGAACAGGTCTACAGTAGACACAATCTTAGCTAAGAAAGATGTAATCAAGAAGACTCAAGTAGCTAAAGGAGTAACAAAAATCACATCTGAGAAACAATGATGTACCATCCATGAAAAATGAGAGATTGCTTTTAATTTGGATAAAAGAAAGGGAAATGAAGAGAGATGTAATTAGTATGACTATCATTCAAGAGAAAGGTAGAGAAAGTTTTGAAGCACATGCCAAACTCTACCTACATTACAAAAGATGAGAGAAATATTTGTGGGCCCATAAAAGACCGATTGATGTTACTTTTGGGAGCTAATGTTCGTGGTGATATGAAGCTTATCCTGCTTCTTGTCTATCACTCTGAGAACCCTATAGCATTAAAAAAAATTCATAATTAAAGGAAGACTGCCAGTGATGTGGAGATGAAATAAAAGAACATGAATCATGCAGGCTCTTTTCAAAGAATGGCTGTTTGAAGTTTGTGCTCCAAACTTCAAGGATTACCTTCAGACCAATAAATTGCCATTGAAAGCACTATTGCTATTGGACAATTAAACAGGACACCCAAAAAACCTTGAAGATTATTTGATGGAAGACTTTCCTGGCTGACAGTTCAGTTTCTGCCTCCGAATACTACTTTGTTGATTTGGCCAGTGAATCAGAAGGTTATTGTGGGTTTCAAGAAATTTTACATTCATGCACTGTTTTGTTGGTGTTTTAAAGCATGCCAGTTCTCCTGATTGATGACATTAAAAACATCTTGGAAAGAAAATTTTAATATTCTTGAAACTATCTGACTCATTCAGAAGGCATGGTCAGAAGTCACTCAACAATAGTTGAATTCTATTTGATGAAAGCTGTGTATCTCCTGCATTCAGGGAGACAGAGATGGTGTCCCTGAAATTATGGATGAAATTGTGACATCTGCTAGAAATCTTGAATTGGAGGTGAATGAAGATGACATTGAAGAACTCATAATGAAATCTGAAACTGACCTGACAGTAGAACTCCAAGAACTCTTGAATGAAGAACACCAAGAAATTCAGCGAGATGTGTTTTTTTCTGAAAAAGAGAAAGACAAAAGAGAATCAATGCTGATATCTGCTATTAAAGATCTTTTGAAGAAGTGGGAGAATGTCTGAACAATGGTCTTAGAATGGCATCTAAACCAGAATGAGGTTAGGATCTCTACAACTACAATGCTATTAATTAATTCTGAAAAATCCCGAAGAGAGAAAAGCAATCGACATTGGATAGATAATGCCCCACAAATGGAAAAATACATGACTGATAAAAATGCAAGATTGTGTATATATGTTATCATTATTATACTGTATATAAATAAACATAGTAAGAAAGTATATAATTTTTTTATTTCTTTTTTGGGGTCTGGAATGAATTAATCAAATTCTCATAAAAATTACAGTAAATCGATAATCAGTTAACAAACAATTCAGGTAGCGAACATGATCTTGGAATGGATTATGTTCATTAACTGATCACTCGCTGTATATATTTTATTAATTAGCTGGATCTTTTTTATTTATGCATATAATAATTTGCATCAGGGAATTTATACATAAACAGTAGTTTATCATTACATTAAAACTAAAAACTAGTAAGTTTAAAATTAAAAACAATGGGATCAGTTATTAAATAAATTCATTAAAATAATAATTCTAAAAAAGTATATTTCCAGAAATGAACTAAAAGTTAAAATTCGAGAATATGGAAAATATAGTAAGAACTAAATATTAAATTTAAATTGTGATCCATCTCTGTGTTAAATTTCTCAGTCTTATAGAAGAGAGTAATTTTAACTCATTTATTTCTGAAAATATACTTTTTTAGAATTATTTTTTTAATTAACTAGTAAGTTGTTTTATATTTATTAGTTTGTCCTAATTTGTTTTTGATTTATAATTTTTCTTTGTTTTAAAATCTGTTGGTGGTTAAAATCAATTGCTTGAGTGTTTATAAGATAATTCCAGCTTTAGAATTTAATAAGTTGCTTGAGAATTTGCAAGATTGAATTTTTTGTAATTTGNTATATAATTAATAATATATTATTAATATTATTGATATATTATTATAGGACATACCCTGGAAATCATTACTATAATAATTTCAAGGGTATGTCACAGTTCATTAATTCAGTTTGAAACATAGGGTGCATTTGGAAATTCTAAGTGGTGTCACCAGTAACTGCTGGTAATTACTTGAGCATTTAGAAAATGTAACTTGAATAATCAACCATATTTAAAGCTCAGTTATGACGTCATTGATCGTTCTGTGGTACTTACAGAAGTAACCACAGTGACAAAGTTGTTACAACAGTTCTATTGAACTACAACATTGCATACACATTCTATCATTATTGTGAATGTAGCTGTGATTTTAAAAATCTACATGAAATAAAACAACATTTTATTTCTGCAGCACAAAGCGATTATGAACTGAAAGCCATGCCATTCTAAATTTCAGGTGGGCAAGACAGGATGATCAATGATCAGCTAATGCTATGAAATTATTGATTTTACAGTATAAGCGAAACAAAGATAAATTTTTCTCTGACACTTGTCCCCAAAAGATACAAGTTCATTTTTACCTTTTGATGAACTTTTCTGATCTTTGTTGTCATATGATTTCAAATAGGTATTCGAGAGCAGTGACAGAATTAATATCACCTCCTCTCGGCTTTATACCATGTTGAACATCACAAAATAACCAGTGTGTTTAAAAATGCACTAATTGCCCAGAATAACTGGCTATGACTGATAACATCAGTCACTACTACCACAGTATTACTGGTTAGAATTTCCAAACATGTCCATACAAAGTATTAGCAGAATATTGAATGAAACATATTTGTGTTTTCTGAATAAATCTTAATTTTTTCATCAATAAATTGGTTAAAAAAGTCAAGAATAACTGATTAAGATAGGATTAAAGTAAATTCTTTATTATGATGATTAAAGTTCTATTTGTTATTTTCAGGCTTCTCGATTGGCTGAAAAACAAGCTGAATTAGAAGCAAAAATGTGCATGAGCAAAGAAAAATTTAAGCAGTTAAGAGAGATTCTTAATTCAGGTGATTGGGAAGAACACCTAGAAAATCTTCGTACACCCACATATACTTCATCTTCCTCAGAACCTAGAATATATCAAGTTTTCTCAGGTAAAGTTAAGTTATAAGGAAAAAATTTCAAACTATTATTTTTAAGTATTTGTTATTTTCTTATTTACAGTAAAAGTTCATATTTGAAAAATATTACATTTTTGGTAAATACAATTAATATTAAATTCAGCAATAATAAACTTGGAAAATATTAAACAAAAATGAGTGTATTCCAAATATTAAGATTGTTACTTTTTTTTTAATTCATTTGGGTTAAAATGATACAAAACAATTAACATTGACATTATATTAACATCTGTAGTATATTGCTTACAATTGCATATATTTATATGAAAAATTTGGATATTTATATTGTAATTAGGTTTTGAGTAGTCACAAAATAAACTAAAAGATACATCAGATGAATTTGTCATCTGCTGAAAGCTGAAATATCTTGTTTGTTCAAAAGCAATTACAGTAGACCCCCCCCTATAATGCTTAGATACGTTCCACTTTATAAGAATTTTACATTGTAGGAATCCTTAAATACATGAGCCAATCACAGCCCGACATGTGTCAAGTTTACGGACTAAGGCTGTTTGAAAGGTTTTCTTCTATAAAATTAGCCGATTCTAGACTAATTTGATTCAACATTTCCAAAACACGTATAATTTTTTGGGAATAATCACTATAAACTATGCTATAAACAAAAAATTGTAGGATTACTTATTGAGTGTGCACCGTTCGACTACGCTGTTGCTTACGCTTGTTTTTGCCGCGGAGCAGCGCATCAAACGGCGGCCGCGATTTCTGATAAATTATTTTTTTGCGAAAACTTTGTTGACCTTTGGAGACATCATTAATAGAAATCGTTTTTATGGCCATTGAATAAGAAATGTTTCTTTCACAAGAAATGTATAAAATTAGTGCTGTATTAGACTTACGGTACCTAATTTACATACTGTACAGATGATAGTAAACTCAACTTACCCGCCTAAACTCTCCATAGCGTGGCGCTGGACGGCGGAAAATATATATATAATTATAAAAAGTTACAATAAATTAAGTTAATATATAATTATATATACAGTACCTAATTCATATATAATTAATATATAATTATATATACAGTACCTAATTCATATGTAATTAATATATAATTATATGTACAGTACGTAATTTATACATAATACTGTACAGACGATAGCAAACTCAATTTACCCGCCTAAACTTACCGTAGCGTTGCACTGGACGGTGGAAAGTAGTTCGGCTGCTCATCCACTATCAGTCCAGATTCGACCAATCTTGTCGCAACACGAGTCGGCGACGATGTTTTACGAGTCCCTTTATAAGAATACTGCCACAATTTTTTCGCTACGTTATAGGAATTTCTGTTATAGGAACCCGCGTTATAGGGGGGGTCAACTGTAATGATTTTTGTCGTCAATTATTATATAGTTCTAGATAAGAATTTAAAGGTTAAATTTTACTGATTTTTATTTTTTTGGGTTTTATTTAAAGTTTTATTAAAAATTACATTTTTTACCCTAACTATTTCATTAAAATTAATGTGAACTTTAACGTTGGATTATTATCATTTCTAATGATAGGTTAATATCCGAAATAAATTATTTCCAAAAATATAAGAATATGATTCTATGAAGGCTTTCAGCCAAAGAATGTTATTTATATATCTATTATAAATTATCTCTAGTAGGTGGTCTCCAAATTATGGCATGTGGGCTGGATCTGGCCCGCATTGTTTTTAGACAATTAAAAAATTGCAATTTAAAAAATATTTTACTTACATTAATCTGATTCTTATACAGCTTGTAATAATATATAGTAATAAAAATATTGTTTTTTATTGTAAGAAAAGGTTGTCTGCATTGATCTGTTTTTAATATGATTATTTTTTTAAGAATTTGTGCTAAATCAAAATTAGAATTTAAACTTGTGCTTAAAATTATTAATTGTTGAATAGTTCAAGGTTTACTTTAAACTTCACTTGTATATTAAAATAATAATTAAATGAATATGTTTGTTATTTTATATTTTAATACATTTTCATGTTTTATCTGTTTAAGTTTGTTATTTTCATTTGTAATTATTTTTGAATTTGAATTATCATCATTTTAAATTAGTTATAAATAATAATTAATTGGTTATTTTAACAAATTTTGTTACTTTCTAGATGGTGCAAATACCAAAAAGTCNTAGATGATGATGATGATAATAATAATAATAATAAAATAACTTTTTTAAAACATTTTCTATTGAAAATATTTATACTAAATAAATAATCTTTTCAGAAAACCTAGGTATTGATCATAAATTTTACTTTTAAACAAACGTGGACTTTGCCTTGTGTGTGTGAGCAGAATTTGAATTTTTGTGTTAAACAAATTAAATATCTTGTAAAATTTTAACGTGTATAAAATTTTGCTTATATACAACTATTGTAAAATTTGTATTGAATTGAATTATATAAAACGAAACTTAATTATATTCTGTTTCATTCCAACTATTGAAGTGCTAACTTTATATATTTTTTGTACAGTGTGTAAAATAAGTACTTAACACTTGTATATTTTAAACTTTGGAATAAATATCTTGTTATATAATATGCTATATTTACATTATGTAATATAATATGCATGTTACTGTGTGTTCTATTGCCAGCGAAAACCAGAAATTCTCGAAATTGGTTAACCCAACGTTTCTCAACCTGTTGTTCACAAACATATTGAAATTAATAAAGATTAAAACTTTGTTCAGTGGTCACTGAACTTGAGAAATTTGTTTTTCTCAATTGTAACATAATATTTTGTACACTTTAAAAATATATTATTTTATAAAGATGATAAAAATATAAAGGTGACTAGAGAAAACGTTTCCAAATTAGTAAGCCATATTTATATAAATTTCTTGCAACATTTAAAAACCATTGCTTAAACAAGTTATATTTAATGATGTTGAGACACTGCGACAGACATCACCTACTAGCGGTCCTTATAATCTAAGGTAAATATTTCTTCTAAGTGAACCATGATATTTTATAGTATCTTTTTAATACAAAAGCTAACCATGGTTTTCGTTTGTTAAACTACTTTCAGAAAACGCAATACTAGCACAGAAATAATTGACATAGAAAGCAGAGTATGTATATTTTAATATTTTTTAGATTATTGTTTGTTATAAGAGTTTATAATACCAAATAAATAAATTATTTTAATAATGTTAATTAGACATGTTTGTAATAAACTTGTAGTAACACGATTTAAGATGATCATGAAAAACATGGAATGTTCATGGAAGTTTGCATTCCGTGTTATTATCATGGGGTGCAAACTTCCATGAAACATAATTATTCAAAATAATTGATTAATTGATGCAGTGTGTAAATATGTAGGAGTTTTCTGAGGCATCTAATGTTATCAAACCAAGAAATGAGTTTTATTGGAAACTGGGTGCTCACTTTCTGAACAGCTTAGTTGGCTTAGAGTAGTGCTTGTTGAGTACTCAATGAACATCTGTTAAAAATGTAATTTCTGGTGGCTGATGGGATGTGCTGTGTATTTTTGATGATATATGCTGTTATGGAGAGCATATTCACTCCCACCAATGTTTAAATTTGATATGATTAAATAGAAATTAACAGTATTTACAGGGTTCCTACACACCTGGAAAGTCAGAGATTTTCATTAGTGTTCAGAAAAAGTCAATGTTTGAATTTAGTAGTGAGCAAGAGATTGCAAGCAATATAGTTCTTGCAAAAGAAAATCATGCACAAGTAAAAAATGAGAAATCTTGCTGGCAAGAGCAAATTTCTGGCTCTTGCACATATCTGACAGGGTTTGATATTTATTGCATCTTGCCTCTTGCTGAATACTGTGCATATGCCTTGGCACAAGTAGACAAATGGATGACTTTCATATCTTTCATCTACTGTGTATATATAAGATTTTTGTATTTTTTTCAAACTGGATATACTTAGTCATATAAATTCTGTTTTGTTAACCAATTACTGTATAATAAGGTTATTTATTCTTTTGCTGTTTCCTGAAAGGAAGAACACCATATTTTAATTTTCTTTGTGTATGTTTATTTTGAAGTAATCCTAATAACAAAAGTTTTTATTTGCTAGTAGTAAGCATTGTGGTCAAACCGTTTTGATTTTTACTTCCAAACTACAATAATTCACTGTTCTTTGTGACAAGTTCAATGTGCATGTAACATCATCTCCACGCCACTCACTCGCATCAGTGTAGTCGTACTGTACTTAATGAGAGCAAGAAACATCATCATCTCTTCTCATTACATATTCTTGCTCACTTGCATCTGCATAGTTGCACTCTAACATTTCTAAAAAGTAGACATTTAATGTTTATATTAATATTTGCTGATATATTTCATTATTATTACAGTATCAAATATATCATAATATATATTAGTTTAGTGTTGAATTAACAAATCCTACTGTAAAAATAATGAAATATATCAGCAAATATTAATGTAAACATTAAATGTCTACTTTTATATATATATAAAACATATATTAATTATTGAATAAATTGTGTTTATATAATTATTTCTCTTATAAAATGTTTTTAATTATAATTCTGTTCAGTCTGTTTGATTTTGCAAAATTATATTTTATAAAAAAAGAATTGTTGTAAATTTGATTATAAAGTGCAATATTGTTTAAGTTTACTTATCTTGTATTGATATTTATATCATAGTTTAACTATCAGCATCATCTAATTTTCTGTTTTTTTTCTTTCTTTAATCTAGTGTTGTATAGGTATTGAAGGAAAACCGCCAGCATTATCAAAGTAAGTTTTTTAGAAGTGTGCATAATAATAAATGTTATTTATTATTTAATTTATTAACTCTATATTAATTTTATTAAAAGTTAGTTTATTATTATTATTATTATTATCTCAATAGAAAATATTAGTTATGAAATTTTTATTATTTTCTATTGAGATGATGATGATAATAATAATAATAATAAAATAACTTTTTTAAAACATTTTCTATTGAAAATATTTATACTAAATAAATAATCTTTTCAGAAAACCTAGGTATTGATCATAAATTTTACTTTTAAACAAACGTGGACTTTGCCTTGTGTGTGTGAGCAGAATTTGAATTTTTGTGTTAAACAAATTAAATATCTTGTAAAATTTTAACGTGTATAAAATTTTGCTTATATACAACTATTGTAAAATTTGTATTGAATTGAATTATATAAAACGAAACTTAATTATATTCTGTTTCATTCCAACTATTGAAGTGCTAACTTTATATATTTTTTGTACAGTGTGTAAAATAAGTACTTAACACTTGTATATTTTAAACTTTGGAATAAATATCTTGTTATATAATATGCTATATTTACATTATGTAATATAATATGCATGTTACTGTGTGTTCTATTGCCAGCGAAAACCAGAAATTCTCGAAATTGGTTAACCCAACGTTTCTCAACCTGTTGTTCACAAACATATTGAAATTAATAAAGATTAAAACTTTGTTCAGTGGTCACTGAACTTGAGAAATTTGTTTTTCTCAATTGTAACATAATATTTTGTACACTTTAAAAATATATTATTTTATAAAGATGATAAAAATATAAAGGTGACTAGAGAAAACGTTTCCAAATTAGTAAGCCATATTTATATAAATTTCTTGCAACATTTAAAAACCATTGCTTAAATATATATATAGTTTTTTTTTTTAATTTAAAAATTTATTAAATTGTAGAAAATAAATTTTTTATTGTTTACTTATTTTTTAAATTTTAATTTGATTAAAATTGATTTAAAAATACACAAATTAAATGATAATTATGGGGAATGTGCATCGTTATTATCAGAATCTGACTCTACTATTGGATAAGTAATCATGGCATGATCAATTCAAAATGTATATTTACATTTAACACAACATTGAAGTATTTTCTGAAGAAAAATAGATATTTTAACACATTTCGTGAAATTTTTCTCTTAATTTCTAAGGTAAGCACATCTTAGTCTGTAAAATTATTGCTTTAAATTGTAAATTTTAATTAGTAATTCTCCCTCTAATTTCAAGAGTATGGAGGAAACAATAACGAAGAAGCATAACAAATTAAATTTAGCTAACATCGAAGGATTTTGGTTAACCGGACAAAATCCTCTGAAACATTTTTATCAAGCGGTATCTTTGCAGCCACGAATGGGAGATGTATTTGTCGCTGGTTATCCAAAATCAGAAACCACATGGACTCAATACATAGTATGGGACATCTTACACTATGGAGCACCTTTACCTTCAGTCAACGAAATTTGCACCAAAGAATTTACTCATCTAGAAATGATAGGAACTGATAGTTTAGTCGACTTACTACCCCTCGATTGCTTAAAGTCAATATGCCTTTTCATTATACGCCCTATCATCCGGATGAAAAGTATATTTACGTCTATAGGAACCCTTGGGACAATTGTGTATCGGGTTTCAACCATTACAGACAAGTGGAGAAGAATTACAGTGATGCAACTTTTGAAGAATTCTTCCATAGTTTCATGCAAGGTGAAGTATTGCAAGGTGATTACTTCGACCACATTCTTTCTTGGTACGATCAAAAAGATAAACCAAATATACATTTTCTGGCATACGAGAGAATGAAACTGGACCCTTGTAAGGCAATATTAAACATTGCCAGGTTTCTAGGAAAAGAATATTATGAGAATTTAATTACTATTACTATTCACATTTAATAGAATATTACGAGAATTTAATTAATATTACTATTCACATTTAATAGTTTACTTCCAATTTCACTAATTAAGCTTCATAACTATATGTATTCAAAACATGCTTTTAGATTTATTATGTTATCAATGGCACAGTGTGTCCCAAAATTTGGTAATATCCACAAGTTTAAAAAAAAATTAGGCGTACAAAACCAGTAGAATTTTTCAGATATTTTAATGCTCTTTCAGCTTAAAAAGGTTGGGAAAAACAGGGTTAATTGGTTTTCAACAAAGCCAATTACTTTTCCTGGATGTTATATATAATACAGGGAAAGTATGGCAATTGGTCAAAAAGTGACCCCAAGATTTTTTACATTTTTTGGAATCCAGATCTTGAAATGTCAAGAAATGCAAAGAAAATATCCGGGGGTTTTTCTAGTGTGTATATAAGGGTACGATTTTGTTTATCAACTTTTGAAGCATGATAAATCCCGTGCCTTTTGTCGAAAATTTCAGAAATTGTGAAGAGAGGTTTGAGTATTAGAGGCATTGATGTTATTAAATTTTGATGTTTAAAGGTCGCGGTGGTGAGATGGAGTGGGGTGGAACTTAATGATGATTTTACTTATTTATAAAACTAATCTATATCCTAAAAAGTAAGATTTTTGCCATTTTATAAATACAGTTGTCCCTCTATAGTCCGACGTTTTTTAATCCGACATGCTCAGTAGTCCGACGCACCTCCCATCAAGGTACCCGTCCCAGTTACGTGTCTGCTTGCACAGAAGCATGTTGCGATGTGAATCTCCCCATCCAATTCTTACTCGATGACACATTTCGTGTGTTTTATGTGAGCAGTTCTGTTCGAACAGTTGGAGTAGAGAATATTGTAAGTTACTGCTAGCAAAACAATACGAAATATGTAATTATTTTCGGTAATCCGGACACTTTTGGTAATCTGACACACCTTTGGTCCCATACCTGTCGGATTATCAAGGGACAACTGTATAAAATAAAGTTTTAAAATAAAATCTAAACAGACGGCGCCACATACAATTTTAACTTTTCTGCCGGGAAAGTTAAGCAACTAGCTAGATTTTTAAAATACTGTATCTTTAAAAAGGCTAAATTATTCGGGTTAATCGAACGATAAAGAAAACTTCTTCACCAAACAACTGGGTTGACAAATAGGTTCCATTACGCACTTAATACCGTACATGAACATAAACTTTCAGTCTTATAAATTCATAGTGAACGAAACGTAGAAACCACTATTATTGCACAATTTGTACTGTACACTACATCCTATCATTGTAGATAAGTATATTAACATGAACTAGCCTTTTGTTCGTCATGTACTGTACACAACTAAACACCAAAGCCATGAGCCCGAATAGCGATTAATCATTTTGACACTTCCATTCGACTTGGTCCAACTTTGAAACTTTTGCTTGTATCTCACGCCATGATATTTTCTTTTCTGACACGGCTCGTTACTTACAAGGCGACAATTTTGCTTTCGGAGGAATACTACATTTATTTGCAAATTTTGGCATGTATACCAGAGTCAGAGTTTTCATTCAACATTCTAAACATTGCAATTCGTTAGTTCGCGTCGACCCGTGACCTCAGTGGGCTGCAATTTGAAAAAAATTCCTAGTGTCCTCTGTCCGTCTGTCTTAGTCTCGAGAACGGAGTCAGTGAAATCCGAGACCAGATATGGACAGGAGGCTTTAATCAACTATATATGAACTTCCCGTGCAAACCGGAAGTCACGTTTTTTCAATTCAAAGCAGTTAATAGATGACCGGCACGACTCCATTGTTAAAGAAAAAGTATGATGTACAGAGGCAAGCCACTACTAATTTGAAGTGGAGAGCGTACATTTTAAATCAAACGATTTAAAAATATGATTAAAAATTGCAGTTCTGCATTGTGACTATTTCACTATAAATAGTTGCTGGTAGTTATAGTTTGTGAAATCTTTTGTTTCAACCTGTGAAAATATTTACAATGAAAAAGCACATTTTGACCTTTGTCATGTTACGAACCGCAATATTGAAGTTAAAATCCTTATATGAGGAAATAAGGAGGTAATAACTGTAGGAAATGGAACAAGCGTTGCATTTGTCCATCAAAAATAGACAAATAAAACATGCCAGTAAGTGCGAGAGACTGATATGTAGAAACTACACCATTAGGATGTGTGCAAATTGTGCACTATATCCATCATTGTACATAACAAAAGTACATTAAGACGAACTAAGCTTTTGTTCGTTGTGTTGGAGACACTAAAGCCGTGAGCCCGAGTAGGGATTAGAAAATTACCAATCCGAAATGCATTCTTAGATAGGCGAAATAAAGAAAACTGTTTTAATCTCGGTCTCTGCTAGTTGTGCATAATTAAGAAAGACGTGATAAATATTACTAGTCTCACTATTGGAAGAAGAAACCGTCTCTTATAACTTTTTATACGCCCTCCAGCCTGACGAAATATAGAGTACGTCTCCTCGAAGTTAACTACCGTCCTTTTGCCGAAGTCTTTGTACATTTCTAACCTTTCAAGTTGTTTCGGCCGAGGCACTAATTTTTCTCGATGGCGTCTTTTTCATTCCTAAGGAGTGAGGAAATTGTAGGGTTTTTCTAAAATCTTACAATTTCTTCACTCCTTAGAATTCTTTGCTTACTACATAGGGTTATCAACTTATAGATGGAACAGAGGGCCTTCTCGTAGGTGACTACCACACCGTGTTGATAGAACTGCCTGGGCTGAAACATTCGGAAAGCAGAGATATCTACAAACTGTTCGGGATAAGAATGGGTTTTCGCCATATATTTTTAATTTTATGTGAACTGCCATCGCTCATTTCTCACGTATTCGTATTTATGTGAGGATAGTTTTTGTTTTGTATGTAATAAATAATCGTACACAAATATTACGAAAAACTTTATTTAATTTCTATTGTCACATATTTATAAAAAAAGTGTTGTTCTTATCTTACCAACAACTTGGTAATATTCGGCATAAGCTTGGTTCGTCCACGCTGTTATTTCGGCGCCTGAGGCGATTTTTAAAAATTTTTTTCGCTTGTGGACACTAAGAGAACTTCTTTTAGCAAGACCATTATGGTTTGGGCCAGACCCACAATGGGGCGGCCGGGTTGTGAGGTCCGACATTTCCGCACGGACTCCCCGAAAAATATTCGGGGATATTTCGTTTCGTCCGGATTGGATTCCGGGTTTTCAGTATTTAGAGCGGCGGGCTGCCACGTTAACCGCTCGACCACCAACATAGTAAGATGTGAATAATAATATATCACATAAAACTTCAAAATTATTTTTAAAAAATGTGTTTTAATTATCTAATCTACTTTATATAAAATATTTAGCAAAAGTAAACAAAATTACAGAAATACATCTATTATTAAAAAAATAATAATAAATAAATTAAAAAAAATATATAACTAACGAGAGTCGCTTCGATCTGCAACGAGACGGTTGTTATTTTTCATATTTGTTAAGTGATATCATCCGTTGCTAAGCAACAAACAGACGAACATCAACGATAGTAGTTTAGGGTTATCGATGAATAGCGATCGAGAAAAAATGTTACAGTGTAATACTTGTGTATATTTAAGACGACGAAAGAAATAAGAAGATGACAGACGTAATAGACTTAAGGGTTATTAAGAAAACTCAAGATGCTTTGGGAAAAATCATAAAAAAACCTCCCCTAAATGATAAATTATTGAAAAAACCACCGTTTCGATTTTTACACGATGTCATCACTAATGT